TTTCTCGCTTGTCAGGTGTTTTAACTTCACCTCGGTTAAATTTGAATTTCAAGTATCCGTGGTAGGTAGGCAGCGAAGAAAATAAAATTAAAAAATAAAAAATCAGCGTTACTAAGAGGGATCTGTAACACAGTTTGGTTCACTGATGAGGATGTCACCTTCCCTTAACCCTCTCTGAGTACACCATTAGTCACTTCTGCAACTCTTGCAAAAGTATAAACTAAATATTCAAACTCAGGCAATTAGTGCTGATGCAAACTGAGCATTAGTGTGTTTGTGTGTGAGAGACAGAAAGAACAGAGAGTAAAAGGTGTTTGTGTATGATCATAAACGGCGGTCATTGTTTCCGTGGAAACAGGTGCTGTGAACTGCATGTGTTCCGACAAGAATTTCTTACGGTCAACTTGGCTCGGCTTGAAATGGCGCGCACACATATGCATGTACCATATACACAAATGAACAAGGACAAACTAATTCTTACTCTTAGCTTTTTTTTTTTTTTTCTTACCTCACACTGTTTTCATGGTTATATAGTAAAATCGTCAATATGTAATGGGAGTATTGTTAAAGCTATGGCTCTCCAATGTGCAGCTTCATGCATGACAGATGGCAGCTCTTTATGATTTCATCAGCTAACATGCGCAAACACACATTTTGTAGATACACAAACTGCTCACATACGTACTCAGGCTCGAATGTGTGGTGTGAGAACTGCCAAACTAATTTGCATTTTATGCTCTCGGTTTGGATGGCGTTCTGAATTCGTATGGACATCTGTGAATTTTAATGTTGTGATTTATATCTGAATTTTAGACATTATTATTCGTATTGCATGCAGCAATGCAATGTCTATCAAATAAAGTCTAAAAAATGCCAAAAGTAATCATGTTTAAGAAGACTAAAATCCAACTAAATTCATATACAAATGATGTAAACACTAGTTTGGAGTCACGTGGATTCTCAGTACAAAGTTCATGGTATATTCATTGACATGTTTTCACTGATGTATTATTGGGAATTTGTCATTATTTGCTTGAAGCTTTATTTATATTTCAAAGTTTCCAGTCAGTCTTTAAGAAATAAAGTTATTGACACACTGAAAAATGAAAAACTCTGAGAAATTCTATAACCTTTCCCCATGAATAATAGAAGTCTCCTTTTGCTCTCTACCAGAGCAACACTGTACAGCATAACAGTGACTCAGCAGACCAAATATACCATACAAAGTCCGGTGTCCTTGAGAGACAATACCGGATGGCGTGCGGAATGTTTGCATGTGGCTGAAAACACCAGAACGAGTCAGCAGCCATCATATCCATAGCTTACAGACTTAACGGGGCGTCTGATACGTGTGCAACAGCTGCTTCCTTCAGCATCCATTTCCCTAATGAATTAAAGTGCAGTACTAATTGATTTTTAGCTCTGCTTTTGTCTCCACCAACTAGGAAACATGCCTCGCTTATCAGAAAACACACCTTTCTCTTGTCATTTGATTTATTATTATTGAATTATGTATGATTGAAACGTTCTTTATGCAGGCTTCAAACACTTCATCCATTATATATGGGTCCTTTCTTGTACTAAACCAGTTTGTTAGCACTGAGCCATCTTTATCAATTACAACAAAGTATACTTTGGTTATCAAAGTCCATCAAATCCCTCAAATAGCATTTTAACAACCCCAACATGCGCCATCTACATGTTGCATGATGCAACCCCAAAGTGGAGAGTTAAGGGTTGATTCGTTATATATTCATGGCGCTAACTATTCATCAGACTTCCTTCATTCGATTTTTACCTCTCTTTTATATGCAAATATAATCTTCCATCCTGCATCTGCCTCTGTATCTCTGAGTCAAGTGCTGCTTCATTAATATTTGAGGTGAGTTTGGATAATGATGCACTTAGACTTTGTGTGCCTGCTGTGTATTTGTGTGTGTTTGCAGGCAGGTGTGAGTGGATTTGTGTTCGGAGGGAGGAGGGGGCGACTCCAGCACAATTTAAAGTTACAAACTGTGATGAATTTCGGATGCACCACCAGAGGCCAGTAAGCAACAGAGTAAAAGGGCAGCGTGATTCGTGCGAACACGTATGCAGATGCGTTGGCATATGTGCAACAAGGTATATTATTAATGAACTTGAAGGGTATTTGTACAACATATTACAGTCATCTATCATTGATTAGCTGCTTCCGCTTCACGGTTCAGATGAATTGCAGCCGAGACACCTTGAGGTTTTAAATCACGGCATCCCCGCGGTTTCATTTTCATTTTCCGAGCCAATATTTCGGATGAGCGATTTATTAGATGTTGTAAGACGGCTGTAACTCCCAAACGCAACTCTCGCTTCATTCATTTCAATGTAATTTTGTTTGACATCATGAGACTCCATCCGATGTTCCTTCAGGTGGACACAGTGGTGAAGGCGGACGCTGAAAATGTCAGGCTTTACCGAATACCTTGTCTTTGTTAAGACAAGAAAAACAACACAACAGGCTTTGTTTCACAAAAAAAAGAGTGATTATTAATCTGGTTCATCTTTGTCTTTATGCTGCAGCAGATGGAAACATCTGAATGTGTGTCAATAAGCAGATGGAGAAATATTTTATTTTATCAAGTAGAACCTTGATTGCACTGCTTCAATATTTAGGGAATACTTTTATTGTGAAGGTGTTGACTTTCCATTTTATCGATCAGACTGTATCTCACTGTTTCTCAAAATTAACAAAACACACGTACTCCCTTATTTCATCAAATGTTTTAGGGGCAAAAAAACAATGTTTAATTATTCAATGTTTGCTTTTTAAAACCCAGGATGAGATCAGCTCAGTATGACTCCATAATGCTCATGTGTGCGAATCTGTTTGTGTTGTCAATTATTAATATTTATTTTCAAAAATTTAACAGGACGTTCTGTTTTGTTCTGTTGTGCGATGTGCACATCCAGGATGAGACTTTCTGTAGGTACCAAAATTTTCATGACACGTTTAAGATTGCGTGCCCTCTTTTTTTTTATTTTAATATCCTCCTACACCAGATATTTTTTTTGTGACGTGTGTCTTCCTTTCCACCTCATCATCTAACCGCTTTGATATAAAATGCATTTTGAGCCTTTGTTCCATTAATAGATGATGGGATGTGTTTTGACAGAGTGTTAGCTTTTCATATTTTTTCTAACGGACACTAGTTTCATTACATTTGCTCTGTTCCTCACCACTGTGCTTATCTATGGAAATCGTTACAGAGCTGCACTCTCACCTTGCGCACACATGAGCAAACTATCGCACGCAAACACACACAAAGTAGGTCACCTTGATGTGTGACGCTGAGCTCAGCTGGTAGATCCCTGAGTGTGTGTGTGTGTGCGTGTGTGTGTGTCGGTGTTTGTGCACCCTCGCGGATTGTGTTTTTGTCCTCTCATGTTCCCCCTTCTCTGCGTCCTCGTGGCCCCGGAGAGAGTCGAGTCATTAGACTGGCTGTAAGTCACTTAGCCCAAACTCTAATTTAATTACAAGACCTGAAGCCAGATGCACTTACGCTCATGTTTGAACTCACATCAGCACGTGCACGGGGGGCTGAAAGAGCCGAGCATCCGCGGATAATGATATCATACAGTGAGTGAGAACACGGGCAGCACAAATAAATGAACACGAGGTGTCATCATGCGTCCCCGTGCACATTTGCATAAAGGGCACAGGTCCAAAAATCTATCAGCAAATGATAAACAAAGCACAACACTTGGGAGTATTATTTCTATCTGTCGAGCACCGTGAGGATAAATGAATATCCCTGAACCATCTAAACAAACTGAGGAGTCCTTCAGCCTGAAAATCCTTGGGAGGGATGAGACAAGGCCACAACGGGATACAGTTGCACACAAATGTGGCAACACACAGGGAAAGGGTCACATCCTGCACCTCCCAGCGGTGTCCCTTTCATCATCTATAGCAAATATAAGATCACATTGTTTAATTGCAACTTAATCACACCTGATTTATCATTTAAAACACCTGCCTCTGGAGGCAAACGGGATGAATATGTTTTCTATGTGGAGAGATAAAGCGAGGATCGTTTTCTTCTATGGACTAACTTCACAGCCTTCCTTTGTCATCTTGTTTGTGGAATCTGACAGTCGTAGGATGAATACAAACAGACACAGTACTCTGGCCTTCCTCTGTTTTCAGAGAGCACCACGTGATCACAAGATCACCACTCAGATCTTATCTAATTTACATTTCCTTTATTATTTTAGCCCTGGCATTTAGTTTCCTGACTCCATTAGGGCTGAAAAGAAAATAACAGAACAATGAGAACCAACTGGCTCACACAGACAGTCTTCCTGTGTGGATGGTCACTTTCCAAATGGAATTAACCACAAAGTAATGCATCCCTCATACACTAATCTGCATTAGAAGAGGATACAAACAAAAATCCATACAAGCTGCTTTTACCCCCCTCATTAAATGGTTAAATGTCTCCCACTCAGAGGTTAAGGTAGTGAGTGGAAAAGAGTGTTGGCATGACCCCAGAAAAGGGTCGAGCCAAATGAAATGACCGGTTCCACACACGCAGACACGGTGGTGGTGGTGGTGGTGGTGGTAGTAGTAGGCTGCGTTTGGCTCAGCCCTCCCGAGTGATTGCCGTGAAAGGGAACCGGTGATGACGACAGCGCGTAAATCGGCAGCTGGAGACTAGAGGTGCTCCGGTTACGCGGGCTGAGCGGCGAAACACAAGTGCCTGCCAACACGGTGTACCAGCGAAGCTCCGCATCCAAGAGCACCGGACAGCTTCAGGTTACGCGTGCGTTCCCGGTTGGATCAGAGGAGGATGTTGCGCTTTGTCTGTCTCACCGTCGCCACTGTGTGATTTGATTTTTTTATTATAATTTTTTTTTTTTTAAGAAAGATGTGGCGCATGCTGTGCCAATCCTCACATCTTTGCAACAACTTTACAAGCGATTGAGTCCGATTTAAAAGTGCCAAAAGAGACGATCCACCGAAAATGTCCACGACGCACCACAGCTCTCCGGCGCCCAACCAGAGCTACCTTTCCACGGCCACCTACGACACGACGGACCCCTCCGAGATGGAGAGGCAAGTCCGCCTGCTGCTCTTCGCTCTGTGCGTAACCATCGCCGCCGTCACCTTGGTCGGAGGTGTGTATTCGCTGCTCTCCCTCCTCCGGATGAGGAGAAAAACCTCCCTGTGTGTCATCGTGGCTTCCATGTCGGTGGACGACCTGCTCAGCGTGGTGCCCCTCTCCCTCTTCATGCTCCTGCAGTGGGAGACGGACGGAGGTGAGGGGTCGGGCAGCCTGTGCACTTTATCCGGACTTCTTTACGTGTTCCAGGGTGTTTCCAGCAATATGAAGGCTTGCCTCATAGCAGCCTACACTTTTTATGTCACCAAGAGATTCGGGGTGCTCCAGTCCGTGCGCCGGCCCCTCAGAGTGATGTGGGCCATCGCCGGTGTGTGGGCAGTGAGCCTGACCGTCAGCGTGCTGCCTCTGTGCGGATGGGGCAGCTTCACGTCGGCCTCTCTCGGGTGTTTCCCGGAGAGCGACAGTTTTTACATCCTGCTGCTCTTCTCTTTATATTTCCTGTGCTTTTGCGGCTTGCTGTTTTTCTTCATCCCTCTCACCTACCAGCTGCTGTGCTCCAGAGAGCCCCAGAGGACTTTGCTGTACCCGAGCTACCTGGAGATGGCGAGGGGGCTGAGCGGCTCCGCGCCCCTCTGTGACCTCCAGTCCTTTTCCCGGGACAGCTTGAACAAAAGTTTCGGTGCGTACAACGAGCTGAGCCCAAGTTCGTGCGGGACAGAGCTCAGGGACAAAGAGGCCGGCGGTCTGTCCCCGGTGTGCGTCAGTGGACCCAGGACAGCGGCCGTGGGGGACACCCCAGTGGTGTTTGCGCAAAAGCGCTTCTCCATGATCCTGGCGGTCGTCCGAGTTGTTCTGTGGATGCCAATGATGGTAAGCAGCGTGATAAATGCAAATGCTACGGTAGCAGAAGCCAAAGGCAACAACATGAGAACTTTTAGGAAATGTCCTGCCAAACCATTTAATATAAAAGCTCAGTAGCTGCCTTTTCTCTGGAAACACACACAAGTTATGTTAGTCATGCAGATAAACTTCTTCTTCTTCTTCTTCTTCTTCTTCTTCTTCTTCGTCTGGGGTGCCCTATTTTGCAGTGGAAATTCGTTAAACTCTAGTTCAAACAAGTAGAACTGCCTCATTATTTTTTAACAAACTGGCCAATTTAGAGAAAAAAATAAGATTTTGGTGAAGAGAAACAGAACTGCTTGTCTTCCAACCGTGTACATTTTTTTTTAACCAAAAACAACCATAAAAGGGTACATTCTGGCCTCATAGTGGCAACAAAGAGATATCAAACAGTCACCATCTGTGCAAAGCCAAAAAAACAGCCAATTAAAAAACTGGCTGGACCTCTAATGGAGCACAAGATGAAAAACATTTCATCAAACCAGTTTCTGTTGTTGTTTGTGCATTATGAGGGCAAAAATAACAGAAAGTGGGATGAATGAAAGAGAAGTGTATTGTACTTCAAACCATTTTCATTGATGAAAAGCATTAAAAGAACTTCTTTTTCTTGCTGGAGATCCATTTAGAAAACTCTTTATGTCCCATGAACACCATAGTAATGTACTGGACACGTGAAATCTGTTAATAAACCAACATTTTTGCAGTTGTTTGAACAAAACTCAAGCAAATTCTCTGAAAAAATGTGTCAAACAGATTTCTTTTTTTCTTTTTTTTTTTAATATATAAGCTTTTATTTGGTTAACATCAATGTTTCATTATATTAAGATTCCCCAAAGGCTTGAGAACAGTAGGTTTTCAGGTTGCAGTCATCACCTCAGTGCAACATTTATTGGTTTGTATGGTGAAATACTTTGAATGCTTGCTACACAAAGTGCCTCAGTTACAACACTTGTTCTTGCTCAAAGATAAAAAAAGAAACTTCAGGTGATAAATCCAGACAATGACGGACAAACAGAGCTGGAATTCCAAACTTGCAACCTTTAAATGAGCAAAAGCGTTGGAGATGATTGAGACAGAAAATGTCGCCGATCACAAATTCACAAAATCTTTCCACAGATATATCTAGAATATTTTTTGTTGCTATTGTTGTTCTAAACAAACCCATTACTTGTACCTGTCCTCGCATCACTTTTTTTTTTTTTTAGAGATGAATATCAGCAGAATGTTGCACCTGTTGCTGAGCCACTAAACACTATTTACGAAAGAAACACTTAAAATGTCCAATAAGACAAACAGATTTGTGCTTTTGTCTTCAATTAAGCGCACTCATTAGCAGCACAAAAGAAGAAAATCCCTTCATGTTGTATTTTGGCTCAAATGCCATTGACACTTTTCAGTACAAAACGTAAGCAAATGAAAAGCCCAGTACGGCTGAAGGATCTGTGCAGTTTCTTTTCATTCATGCCTTCTCCCTCCCACCTTTTCCTCATGCATACTGAATCACCGACTCCTCAGTGAATTAATTTACCCTTCCCTTTTTTCGTTCGCAGACTTTGGTGCTGGTGCGCCACGCAGTGAACGCACGCAGCTCCTCCCTGGAGACCCTGAGCTTCTTTCTCACTCTGCTCGCCCCTGCGGTCACTCCGTTGTTCGTGCTGTCTGAGCGCTGGATCCACATGCCGTGCGGCTGCTTCATTAACTGCAAACGGGATCCAGCGCAGGAACCCTCAGGTAGACGGTGACGCAAGTTTCATTCTAAAAAATCAAGGGTGCACAATTAAACCCTGAACAATGTTTTCCCAATGTGATGAGTTGTTTTCGGGCCTTTTTTTTCACAGCGATGAAAAGAAGATTTGAGTTCAACCTCTCCTTCCAACAAGGCTATGGAGTGTACAAGTTGTCGCACGCCACCATGTCTCATAGCAGTCCTCCTATTGAGAAGCCTGCCTACCACAGCCTTTTCAACTGTGACTTCCCTAACGCCCGCCTTGATGCACTAGAAAGTGGTGGGTTCTCCAGCATGGGGCCCAATTTTGATTTCAGCACCACGTGCCCAGTGGACAGCTCCTCTCACGCGGACCTTCTGTTGGAAGCGGTGGCCGGCGGAGGCGAAGCTCTGGCCGACTGTCCTCCGCTCCCCCACGAGAACCACGGGGACGACGAGGAGTTCCGCTGTGGTCCTTCGCTGCTTTCCCATCACCGGGAGGACGATCACAACCTCACCGACACGTCGTCGGTGTTCGAGGGGCCGGAGAGGAGGCTGTCGCACGAGGAGTGTCGCAAAATCGAGCTGACTGACTGGGAGTGGTGCAGGAGTAAATCAGAGAGGACGCCCAGACAGGTACGCCGCTGTCCCGAGCAGTCGCTTTATTAGTCTGATCTTGAACCGTTTAATTGAGTCATTTGTATCTGTCGTTCCGGGGTTTACGGCTGGCATTAATTGATTTTTCCGCACACTCTGTTGCTTTCCCAAAGTAGTCAAACAACTGCTGCATTAACACGCAACATGTAGAGGTGATCGTTTAGAAGTAATTAGTGTCTCTGGACCATAAAATGGATGCATTTTCAATCTGCCTTTCTCTGTTTACATTTTGCTGGAAGGAAATTAAATGCAGTTTTCATTGCAGTGCACCTGTGCAGAGACGCGGGTACAATGCTGGTGGAGTAGAGTAGTTTGTACGCAGCCAGGTTTTAAAGCAGGCTTTGAATTGAGTGACTTTGTTGGTCTGTGTCTCTTTGGGTTTTTTCCGCATCTACGAATGCGCCTCTTTATAATCAAGCTGACAGACTGGGAGCTGTGCATGTGATTTAGATAAAATGGTTAAAATCTTCTCTCCCTCAACCCTCTCTTCTATTCTCTCCCCCTCCTCTCTTCACCGCACATCTCTTCATCTGTGCTAAGCTTGAATGGGTTCTGACTAATAGAGCAATTGATCAAGATACTATCAGACGCGTACCATTTTAGCAACAAATGTCAGCCTGTCTTTCGAAGCCAAATATGCATTCGTCGCTGCTCTACAGACTCTTAAATCAGAGCACCTCACAGGGTTCGGCTCCATTCATCGATTTAGTCTTTTGAGTCTGCGGTTAAAGGCGGTGTTTACAGTTTCAAGATCAGTATTCAGAAGATTTAGCTGCTGAAGGTTACCTCCCCGTTATGTGTGTTTCTGAACGCTTTCGTGCATACTTGTGATATGGTATAAATTCTGAATGAAAACTGAATGGAATTATTAATGTTTTGGTTCCAGTTCAATCAAACACACGATATCTGTTCAGCGCATATACAGCGCCGAGTTCTTCTGTCTCAGGAGACCTATAAAGTTAATAAAGTTAGGATGCATTCAGCCGCTCAATACTTTACTCCGTCCACCAGTTGCAAGTCAAGTAGCAGTGTATGCGGTGCCGTGCAGCTCGAGACGGTTTGTTACAGGGACGCAGACCATCCACTAATCCATTTTTAATCCATTTCTTTCTTTGTTGTTGACATCCTGTGCTCTTGTAATACCAGAAGCTTAATTCTCTGTGTTTTTGCGAGACCCGGCTGAATTGTTAAACAAGGACAAAACAGTAAAGGCCTAATGATTAATGTATCCTGGCACTGGAGATACCAGCCACAGATGAGAGAGCAGCCTCTCTGCGCTCCTTGCAAAGCAGCCGAGCAGCTACAGGCGTTACCTTTGAAACCGAAAATGCAACTTGTAGAATATTAACCGTATAAGCTTGTTGTAGACTCGCGAAGCTAACTGGGACGTGAGCAGATGCAGCAACATGCGTGCATACAAAAAAAAAAAGACATGCACACATCTCTGTCTCTCTTCCTTTTTTTTTTTTTTTCTCTCTGCTCTACTTATAAGTTTGAAATGTTTTGGTTTGAAAATCACCAGAGGGTGGAAAATCCATGGAGCATGCATCTGCAGCTTGGCTTTGGCACTCACTTTGCATCATGTATAAGTCTGAGACGCTCACTGCCGGTTTGCGTGTGCGTGCGTGCCCTACTTCTCAGTTTCTTAGTCGCAAACTCTGTATATTATGTCTCCTTAGGCCTTATTCATTGATTGGGGGTCTCCTGGATGCAGAAATGCAATTACAGCATCCGTGTGCACCAACACACTGCTTTCACAAACAAACATGAGAACACAGCCAAACAGCAAAGACAAACAATAACAAAATTAAGCTCCTCGTGCCCAGCAACCCTCCTGGCTCCCCGAGCACAGACACAAAAGACATAAAGATTAAAATTATCTCACCAACACACACACACACAACTCAATATTACTGCATATACATACAAAAGAGCAGATGGAAGCCCAGCCAAAAGAGTTTGTGATTTATAGTGTTTCCTGGCTTGTGTTTTGTTCCTCATTAGAGGACTAGATGTCATTACCCGGCGTCTTTTCCCCTTACTGTCAGTCTTCTTGGCCTTCAGCAGAGGTGGAATTAGAGCTTAAAGACATCTTTACCCTCCCGGTGACTTTATACTGTGTTAGCAAAGCGCAGAGCTCGGCCTCTCAAGCGCTTTCCCTCGAGGGGGAAATGGAAATCTAATGTGCATTCAGATGCAGGGAACTGAAACCCGTTTACTCTTCTGAGAATTCCTCCAAAACTGTTGACAAAAAACCAAAACGTTATTCTAACCAATAAGGCTTGAATGCATAAGGTAGGGGGGAAATATTGATGTGACGTGATACTGATGTGAGTAGACATGGAAATAACACAGCTAGAATCAATATCCTGCAACCACACTTTACACCTCACAGAGCTGCTGCATATTTACCTGTACTGTATGTTGACGCTTTAATTTAAGCGTTAAAATATAGATATTTCTTTGCGTGTGTGCCGGAGAAATTGGACCACAATGGGAAAGACATTACAATTAAAACAAGCTGCTCCACAACAACGTCACCAAGCGTCAAATTCTATTAATCAGTTCAACAGTTGGTGATACATTTCAGTCTTAACTGTCAGTCTCATAGCATCATCAGATGACATGGTCTGCAAACCATGCATCCCTCTGCCAACCCATCTTGTGGATTACACTGGATATGTTGGAAGTAATGTGCAAATTCCTGGTAGCAGTAGATGAAAGGTTACAAAAGTTGTTTGGATGCATCCTGTGGGCACCATTGGTATCCATTTTCAAATATCATGACAATCCATTCAAAATATTTGTTTTTAATACTTCACCAAAAAAAAAAAACTGAATCGTCAGCCTCTTTGGGGAGCATTAATGTCTCTGTGTTTTATGAATATCCATTCAAAAGTTATTGTTTGGCTGTAAAAGCAATTTGATGATGTCTACATTCACATCATGCAGGATTTATATCAAAACAATTTGGAGAATTACAACGTTACATTATATGTCTTTTTTTTTCTTTTTTTTTGTTAAGCCGTGTGAAAACAACCCAGAACGCAATCAGGCATCCATCAAGGCACTTCCCACATTGATGGGCTCTGAGCATTATTTAATTTACTTGACAATGTGTTTTCAGCTCAGCGTTGCGTTCTCGCTCTCTCCCCCTCCTGTGTTTCTCTTCATTCACAATGATGCAAACACAATAACGGCAACACAGACGGAGCCAGGGAGGACAAGAGATTGACATCCTCTTTGTTTCTATTGTGCATCATAGTCACAATCAGATCATTACATTGGACTAATCTAAATAATTTAGAGGCTTAATGAGACCTGCCACAGTCCCCCCCACTGCCGCACCGCAGGACGCTTCTCCTTTCCGCTGCCAGCGATGTGCAGTTTCTCAAGCACGTCATCTTGACAGAGGCTCACTTTAATGTACTCGGTGTTGACTTAATCTCTGCAAAAACAATTAAAAAATATGACTGGAAAACATGAAATGTGATTAAAAGATGTGAGTGGTATGAATGAGCCCTGTAATGAAAAAGATGGCAAACTGATAAGAAACCCGGAGGAAATTTGATTGATGCATTGTACACATAAATTATATTAGACAAATGAAATGAGTTAATAATAATAAAAATAAATTATGATTACGGCTTAATGGCTTATCGATGGTGCGTCCTTGTTTTTGCTGTAAAGCTGCCAGCTGTCTGTTAGCTGCTGTATGCATGCAGGGCTAACATCTCATTTTTAGCAGCACAGTGCTGTTGATAGGGCTCTTACATGTAAGCCTCATTAACTCCTGGGATAGAGACGGATGGTCAACACATTCATCTCCCTGCACTTGACAACGTGGGCACAATCTAACCGCAATTAGTTTAAACAAAGGGAATGAGATTGATTGCAACTTTACCTCGTCATTGATGTAAAGCCTCAGACGCTTTGTATTTATTGTCAATAAGATGACGGCCGGTCAAGATGGAAGTTAGTAATGAGTATAATAGTATTTCCAATTATTAAGACCTGCCAAGTGTGTTTGTAAATGAAGATGCTGTGCTAGATGATGGAACTTTTTTTTTTTTTTTTCCAATTATGTTCCCATGCAGCGGTCATCGGGTGGTCTGTCGATCCCCCTGTGCGCTTTTCAAGGAACTGTATCTCTGCAAGCACCCACGGGGAAGACACTGTCTCTCTCCACCTACGAGGTCAGCAGCGACGGCCTCAAAATCTCCCCCAACAATGCCAAGAAGGTAACGTCCCTCACCGCAATGTCGTCTTTGTTAGCAAGACAGGGTTTTACTCCTGTTTAAGGAAAATCATGCTTTCCTAATGGAAGTTAAACGAGAGTACAAATATAACTGTCTTGCCTTCGCTAGTCAAAGTATTGGGCCAGAGCAAGGAGACGCTCATAAAGACTGGAAAGCAGGAGGAAACTGAAAGGTTTTGTTTTTGAATTTTTGCTTGTGCCAACGCTGCACCAATACGTCCATCTCATGCTGAACTTAACCGTTAACAAGAGGCCGAGATACTTACACTCCCTCGCTTGGAGCAGCACCTCAAACCCAACGCAGAGTGACAAAGCCAGCATTTTCAGACTTGGAAGGTGCTGCCTCTCATTCAGGCCACCTCGTTCTTGATTTTTTTTCTTAAGTCGATCTACACTTCACCTATGGTCAAAAATGAGATCCAAGTGAGCCTTCTATGTAGGGAAGCTTGGCTCAACTTTAGAGATAAGGTTTTAAAGCTTTATCATCTTTGCTCCTACGTACCGAAAGGAGCCAGCTAAGGTGGTTTACGCATCTGAGTAGGATGCCTCCAGGGTGAGTTTCTTTGGAAGTTTTCCAGACAACTGGGACGCGACCCAGAACTCGCTGGAGGGATTACACATCTCCTCTGGCCTGGGAACACCTTGGGAGGAAGTGGGAAACTAGAGAAAGAAGCACCTGGAATGCTGCCACTATAAGCCAACTCTGAGGAAAATATATGTTTTTTGTTTGTAATAAAGACAAAAGAAGTAACTTATTATTTAATTACTGAGCTTTAGAGGTGACAGAGGGTAGATTCTTGAACTTGGAAAACAGGTGTTGGCTCCTGTCTGTCTAGTCTTAATGCAAAGCTAAGGTAACAGCCTCCTGGCTCCAGCTTCATACTTAATAAGAAGACATACTCAGTATCGAGTTCCTCATGTCACTCTAGATAAAAAAAGAGTTCATTTGGATTTCTCAAATTGTCAAAATTCCATTAACAGTTATTTTCAATTAAACTAGTTACATAGTTCTGCTAATTACCCACCATCATCTCTGAGTTAAGATGAATTGAAGACAGCTGGATTGTGAAGGAGAAAGAAATTAATTCTAACAAAGCAGTGGAATGATCTTATGATATATGATGTAAAATAAGATACATTTCATACACTGTACACCTGATATGACTTGAATGATCCCTTAAACTGTGACATTATACTATTAATAACTGTTAATAAAATCTTTCTGCTTCACAGGTGGAGGTATATCGCTCAAAGTCAGTTGGCCACGAGCCAAGTGCAGACGACCCGGCATCGGGAGGCCAAGCTGGAGACGTGAACGTGAGCCGCGTTGGGATGGGCATGGAGATCGGAATGGGGATGGGCATGGGAGCCGGCGTGGGAGACACCAACGTCAAAATCCACCTTGAGGTTCTGGAGATCTGTGACAACGAAGAGGCCATGGACAGCGTGTCCATCATCTCCAACATCAGCCAGTCCTCCACCCACGCCCGCTCGCCCTCGCTGCGCTACTCGCGAAGGGAGAACCGCTTCGTCTCCTGCGACCTGGGCGAGACCGCCTCCTACTCGCTGCTCATCCCCAGCAGCGGCAACACCGAAGCAGAGACCATCAATATCACTATACCCGACACCGTGGAAGCTCATCGGCAGAACAGCCGCCGACAGACACAGGAGAGCTCGGGGTATCACGAGGAGATACAGCTGCTCAATGAGGCCTACAGAAAGCAAGCCGGGGAGAGGGAAGAGTGACATATTTACAGAATAACAAGAAGGTAGCTCTTAGAGGAGGTCGAAAGAGCATGTCAGACGCTGCAAGACAAATTTCCTAATCATTCCACATTTACTTCTTTCTGATCTAACAGAGCTGACAGGTGACCCAGCTCGAGACTAATCGTCCGTTTGCTTACTCTTGTACTTCCTCTTCAGGTAACATCACGAGAGCACACGTGTCGCCTATCTGCATTGTACACAGAGATAGTGTAGCCAGTATAAAGGACAGATAGTAGTAAATCAGTGTAAGCAAGAGAGACACAGTATTTTAGCAGTGCATCTGTATTCCTGCAAAGACTTCCACCATATGGCAGCCTGTCATCATAAAACAGACACAGCGAGAGAAAAATACTCTTCGACGTAGAAAAGGATCACATGTCTGGTATGAAATATCTCCTGTAGACGACGTCACTGGTGACTCAGCCGAGAGGGGTGGGGTCACCTGACCCATGCGTCTGACTCATCCGAGCGTGTGTCGTGCATTTTAGTGTGTGAGAAGTCGGCTCACCCATGAGAATGAGTGTGTACGTAGGAGAGTAACTACCAAAAGTATTTAACTGTACGTTCCCTTTAGAAGAATGTCTCTGCTCCGCGTATGTTTATTTCGATTGCCGTTTTCTTTTTGCGTCTGTCGAGTATAACGCAGTTCACGTTGCTACTATCGGATTAGAGAGCGACCGCCATCCGTGCTGAAAATCTAAAACAGGAGGAGGGGAAAAAGGCGAGACAAGCATTTGAGGAAAAGTGTTGAAGAAGACATTGAGGTGGTGGTGGGGGGGTGGGACACTTATGCAGAGCAGCTCTCTGCCTCGTGCACATTCAGCTCAATTTAAATGAGTGCATATTTTACTACAGCAGGCAGCATATGAATGTACGTTTCCAGAGCCACTTTGGGGGGATGATCTCGCTCTCTCTCTCTTCCCGCTCAGTTCACTTCCCGTCCAATCAGCGAGCCACCGGGACCTCTCACTTCCTTTCAGATACATGCATAATTCCCCGACCGTGGTAAAAAGTTCATAGACAGTATTGTGTATTTCGTTTTGAATGGTTACATGAACTGCTTCCAGAAGCATATTCTCTCAGATAGTATATCCATCATTACTTATATGCACATTTACTTGTACAGGTGTGTACAAAACAGCAGTGAAATAGGTATTCTAGACGAATTTTAGAACATGTATGCGTTTAAGTTTGTTTTACTGTGGTGTCTTCTATGTGTCGGCTATTTGGTTTCGCTTGATCTTCAACAGCACCGTGTGGACTTCACTTGAAAGCTTTTGAATTGTCCTTTTAGCGAGTCCACTTCTGCGACATCTCCTATTTTCCTGAAGACTGTGATCATTAAAGATTCATACCAGAAAATTGCCTCCGACGAAATTGCCACGCGTTCCTATTTGGAGTGCCGCCGCCGCCACCGCTACTGCTGCTACTGCTGCTGCTGAGCAAAATGTGTGAGAAAATAATGTACAGGCATATAAATAATGATGAATGTAAAGTTGTGTTCAGTGTGTCAACCATTCCAGCTGTTAATGGTGCCAAAGGTTTTTCTTTTTTTTTGTTTTTTTTTCAGCTGAGCAGCGTTTCATCTCCGCAGCCCAGCAGAGTGGAAGTAATTCCATCATCTGCTTATTCTCACTGTTGAACGGGACTACAGTTCAGATTCTGGTCAAGCATTCTCATAAACCGTATTGATCAATTAATCGTTGTTTGTTTGTTTGTCTGACGAATTCGGAGCTGCACATGAGCTGCACAAGTGTTTTGCTCATTTGTGTCAACCATCGGGATTATTCGGTAACACACAAACTGCACACATTTATTACGGAATAAAAGGCAAATGAAGTGCAATAATTAACTACTGTAGAGACTGACCTAGATAGTGGGCTATGTAACACCACTGGTTCCCGTGCCCCTAGGAGAAAAGCAGTGTGACTAATCCATTGCAGTTTTATGATCATTTCACTGTGCTCACTGTTTGAGCTGACATCAAATCGCCAGTAAAGATGTTAATTTTTCAGCAGTAAAGCCATTAAATTAGGAAAGTTTCACAAATGAGTCATTATATTTTGCATGGCAGGAAAATAGAGATTTGGTTTTTGTGTGAAAGGAGGAGAAAAGCAGGAGAAGAATTGAGAAATTGGAGGTTAAAAAAAAAAAGGAAAATAGTATAAAAACTGGAATTATTAAAGCAGCTATTGCTAATGTTTTATCATTTCGCTCTGATTCAAGGACTTTCACCGCCTCCCACTCACAACCTCGGATTGTGCTGAAACAATGCAGGTAGCCTGTATCAAAACGTAGCATCGTGGCACCTGCGGTTCAACACGTGCACTCTCGATGGGCACGTTGAAAGTGTGAGGCAAACCCAAAATAGGATGGGAAAAAAAAACGGATTTGTTCAAACATGACGCTTTTCATTTGCAGTTCTGCATTGCTTAAATGATTCATTAGGGTCAGAGATCGTTTGTATGGATCACAGGTAGCCCCGAGGATATGAAAATGAGGTGTGTACATGAAGCACGCGTTCACACTGGTGCTGCCAGGAGTACAGAGTGGATGCCTGGTGCATATGAAACAGTCTGTTCTCCTTTGTTACCAATTTGTTTTCACAACCCCTTCCACTAGTCAAAAGGCGTCCTCCTCGCACACACTCAACTTTAGTCTCAGCGTGGTTATTCTTTTTAAAAATACTTTCCTCTGTAGCTTCTCAATATTTTCCTGCATTGCTTACTCTCTGACACCTGCTCATTTCAAATCCCTCATCTGTTCAATTCAGAGCAGCCAGCTGAGAGATTGATAGTGTTCGCGTATTTCAAAATAATGACAGAGATAAAAGTATTGGCAGCCGAGGCGAAAAACCTGTGAGTCAGGAGTGACTCAAAGTTTACCCGTTCGGCGTTTGTGCTCAAAAGACACGATTAAATATATTTCTGTCAAAGATGAACACAGAATTTTTTTTTAAAAAACCGGCATGGATATGGATTCGATGAGATTACACATAAATACGGCTTATCTTTTACACAAATCGACAATTAATTTCAACCAAACAAATGGCTATTCTAGTCTCTGGAAATGATCTTCTATCGGTGTGAATTTCCTTAATTACGAATCAGCTGAATGCGGATGCTGCACGAATGTGAATGTCGAAAAATGAAACCTATCACATTCTTGAATGTTGATGTGTTCAAGGATTGTCACGGCAATGATGGCGCGTGTGAAAGGCAGAAGTTAATTTAGAAGTGGTGATGCATGATATTTCGTGACAGCAACACAGGGCTCAAGGCTGGCATGTACTTTGCAACCTCTCACAAACCCCCCTTTCACACCATTCCTTCAATTCTCTCATCGGTGCAAAGTGCTTCACGGCACAGTCTGGGCGTCTATTGCTTTTGGGTTGTGAGGCAAGGACAGAGGGATGGAAAATCGGGGAAATTGAGAGAGAAGGAAGAAGCGCATCTTTCGCTCATTTAATATTCCAGCTAATTTAAAACAAGAGAATCTAGAGTGTAATCCAATTTGCTTTTGGTGGGAAGATCCGGACACAAACAAATTCAGCCAAGAGTGAAGTAGAGAGATGAGGAAAAGGCATAATTGCAAACCAAAACAAACTTGAGAAATGAGAACAAAGCAGCGCCAATTGCTGACTGAAAAGAATCAATTACCCAATAACTGATGTAAGAATGTTGTTTTCAGACTTCATTTATCTACAATATTAAGTCTCATGTGAAGCAAGTCGTGTCTAGTCCTGGTTATAATAAAATGTTAGTTAATAAGAGGCAGTATGACTAATCAAGTGCATTTTCTGTACTGCTTCATAAATGTTATATAAACTGATAAATTACCATCATGTTTTAGGCCAGAATGGCATCTTTATCTGTGCTGATAGACTGTATATTCACCACAGCGCTGCAATACAGCAGAGCCCAAACCTTTAAGGTGACAGTCTTAGTCATGGTAGATCTTTTCACTTGGCTGTAACCTTTAAGGACCAGATAACAGGTCATTCCCTAATGTTCCTTTGAGCAGGATGAGTCTGTTACAGCAGTTACACTGACTGTACAGTCTGTCTATGTCTGAACACACACAGCGGCCCCGGAAAGTATTTAGATGGTTAAACAGGCAAATTAGCAAACTTCCATGAGGTTTATTTTCCTACTAAAGCAAATAAATGAGATTGTAGCTTGAGAAAGTATGAACACAATCACTCTATATGACAACAAAAAAAGGTCTGGTTGTCAGATTTAGTGCAACATGTCCATATTTAGTGATGAACCAGTAATATATCAACTATAAATCACAAGGGTTTACCTAAAAGCAACTACAAATGTGCCAAAGACAAATAAAATGCGCTGAGAGACAAGGTTAGCCATCATTTGCACAAAGAAGGGCACTCAATCTTTCAACCTCCACAGGTGGGTGTATTTTGAAATGTTCAAAAATAACACACTTGTAGAGCTGATAAAAGAAAGATGCACAGGAACACCAACATCAACCAAACAACAGCTATGGGCGAAATCAAGGAAGACAATCGAGGAACAGCAGCTACATTTTCCTAAAAAAAAAAAAATCTAAATTTGCCAGATACAACTCACTTTAAAGACATACAATTCAACATTTAATCAAAACTTTTCTAAAGTGCAAAGAAATGGAAAAAGTGGATTACATCTGCATATGGACATGAGCAGAAAAACAGCAGCTTCTGGAGAAATGTGTTACTTTCAGAGCAAATTCAACCAAAATGTGTCAGGTGGTAGAAAGATTGCACGCAGAAAGCCAGATCCCCAACGAGACTTGGGTTAAAGCAAAGCATGAAGAATGTGGAAATGCCAGGAGTCTTTTCTTATAGTGCTGTAAGACAGCTTGTAGTCATTGGTGGAATCTTGACGACTTAAGTGTACAAACTAAGAAGCAATTTTCGAGAAAGCGTTTTAAGTGTGATTATGAGATCATGATAGTGATCCAAAGTATACTAGCTCGCTGTT